CAAACTGTATTAAACTTCAAAAGTCGATTCAAAGAATACACACCAGGGACAGAGCAAACAATGACCTCTAAAGGTACCATAGGTGGGATCAGGTGCCTTGGAGGAGTTAGCATCTCCTGTCAATCTGTTATACCTGTCATGTGCTTAGTGTCATGATCGAGAAAATAGAAAAAAATATATGGACATTTTAGTGTGTCTAATAATTGGTTTGAAAAACGTCAATTAGCGTTTGGATTGATAATTTAATGTACTTGCTGACGAGGTCATTGTATCGACCGAAAAATTCGTGAAATTATTTTGTTTAACGAGATTTTTAAACGTGACTTATTAAAATCCTTAATTCATCATATTAATTGTCAAGAGTTTTCGCCTCATTAAAAAAACGTTCATAGGTAGATCATTATCGAATCAATTGAGAGATATAAAACCCACTTGCGTGGTTATAAGGATGTAATGCAACAAAATGTACATGTATTGCAGAAGAAACGGTAATATTCATACACTTATGTTTTGTCAAAAGGCCGATTGACGCCGTAGTTCTTTTTCGTATAGGCACCTAGAAGTTACCATCCCTTATTTACCCCTTCAGTGTCTTCAAAAACCTTTTTGAAAGTGATGTAGTAATAAGGTAAATTGGAATATAATAGCAAGTTACCAAAGCAACCCTAATAATTGCATTTGTAATATAAGTACACTGTATGGACTTGCAATGGAAAAAAGAGAAAAATTAAGAAATATAACCTTCAAATAACATAATATTTTTAATGATCACTATTTATAATATATTTATTGAATAATCAAGCATTTATTTCTTTATTGATTAATTTATTGTATCATATTATGTGTAGCCAATCAGAGTTGACATTTTAGCCAACCAAATGATTAAAAATATTAACCAATCAATAGTAATTAGACATAAGGGACACATTATAAATACAGGGATTAATCTTCTTTTACTTTTGGTGTAACTCTTAGTTGGAGTTAGGTGACTTGGGAAGGGTACTTGGGCTCTGTCGGGAAACAACAAAATTGTTAGTTAGACCACTCAGCTCAGGGACCTAGTTCCCTAGTGTCTTTGTTACTAGCTATGGTGTCTCGGTGACTTTAGCTTGTGTCTTATCAAAAGTAATACAGTGTCCTGTTGATAGCTATGGTGTCTTGGTGACTTAAGCTTGTGTTTGTGAGTCTTTAGATGTATCTGTTACTTTGTGATTTTTTGGGTGTGTTTTAGGTAGTTGCACTGTTAGTTAAACCAATGCGTCTGCAGCTACAGGGATAAGGTAATAGATTTGATCATTGGTTTTATAAGTTGTTGGTGATTCTTCTTTTATAGTTTGTTTTTATACATGTATACATGTAGTTTGACAATCATTATCCAGATAGGATCAATCAAAAGTATGCAGACATATGTAGTGAAATATTCATTTGTTAGCCATTGCTATTGAAGTTTGTTTTGATTTGATTTTATAAACGTGATTCTTAGGAAGGAAACCTAAGCGAAATCAATTATTTATTATTTGTACATTAGTAATAACGTTATACATGTGTGTAATAGGCACTCCTTACTCGAATAAGTACAGCTATACATACGCAAAAGAGTGCAATTGAAATACCGACAATATTATGTAATTGCATTGTAAGAATGTATCGGAATGGCGATTATTTTAAGTACATTATTTATCTAGGATAATTGTAATTATGACTACTTGTAATAACTAAATATTATAGCGTGAAGCAACATGTACAGTCATGTGATTTTAGCACATTTACTTGCAGTATTGAGGTTACCTATAAATGCAACAAATGCAAGGGCATAACCAAGTTAAAATTTAGTTTCTGAAAAGTGATGCAATCCTATCCAGATTTTACAGTTTCAGTGTTACGATCATATTTGTATGATCGAATGCTGTATTTTTGCAGATCAACGGCATGAAATATTGGTATAATTAAATTTATTTCAAGATTTCATCAGGATCACAGCACTTTTCAGATACCTTACTACTTGTAGAGTTGATTTGTAAAAGCCTACTAGGATCAATGGAGGGTATGCCCTTGCACCAGATCGATTTATTAAGATCCCTACATTACCCTCCGATGTACTTCCATACAAATATACGGCAGTATCAATTTAATACGAAGTATAGAGAAAATATATTAATAAAACCGTGAGGAAGACATTAATTCCAAGTAAATGGCCTATAGAATATCTGTAAATAATATTTTATTTATTCATAGAGTACATTTTTGTTAAGAAAATTACTTGATCTGCCTCTCACTGCATACAAACTGCGTCATGTTTTAAGAATTGACGTCACATCGATTGTGATCAGTGACTTGTTTATAACACTTTATATGAGATTCGACTAACAACAAAACAAATCTTGTAGTAAACTTTGGTGTAGTTTGATGGTTTCCTACAGGTAAAAATAGCAAATCACCATTTTGTGGTATTTTAAAGAATTGTTGTATGATATATTTTGTATGATGTCATAGTAAAGTTTTCCCGTCCAAATTAGGCTCCGCCCCTTTTTTGTAACCTTAACTGTGCTGCTTATGAATAATTTTAAATTACTAATATATTCGCAGAGATTATCATTCAAGATACATTTACACAAATTATATGAAAATCCTGAAGGTTGCTACATGCATAGGCGGCGGCAAAAACAAAAAACAAAAAAACAAAAAAAAAAAAAAAAAAATCGGGAATCTTTTGATTAGAGGTTGCCTTGATATAATTGCTAGATTTTAATTTCAAATAGTATACTGGCGCTGCGAGCTGAATTTTTCCTACTTTATTCTTATTTTTGTTCATTTTAGAAATAGAATGATCGTCAGTTTAATTACTGTAAATGTATTACATTTGGCGTGTACGATATTTGGCGGAAATTCAATTTTCAACAAGTTAGCAAAGCTTTGAATTAGCGCCTGTCTGAATGCGCTAGTTAGAATTGTTAATATACAGGACATTTAGCGATGTACTTTCCGCCAAAATCGCTGAATGGAATAGACCGCTATATGTAATACGTTTACGGTAAATTCCCGTCTTAATTTCCACACGCATGATAAATTGACAACATAATTATCTATCAATCAACTTCACACACTATGTGGAAATGCTTACATTTTAATTTGAAAAAATTATCATTTGATGTTTTATGAATATTAAAAATATATTCCAAAGATAAAGAGAAAAATGTTGATAATGTCAATCTATTTGTCTTTCATTAACAAACAATTTTCAATTGCCAATGAGTATAAGAGTAATTAACTAATATCTCTAATTATGTTGCATTCTTGGCCCAAGGGACTTCATACCCTACTGACCTGCAGTTGTAGTTAATCATGGACTCATTGAAAAATAAAATTATAAATCTGTTTAAGTTATCTCCGTAGATTAATTTGAAATCGAGTGTATGTATTCTGAGTCAGTGTATAAACATGTAATTTCCGGACTAATGACAATAATACGAGTTTTGTTCGAAAAGTTCGTGGACAATATAATCAATCCTAGTTATACTATTTGAAGAAATAAAATAAAAATGAGTAAATTATCATAAACACATTAATTTTTTTGACTTGTAAAATTTCTTTCATTAATATTAATAGAATGAAATATGTGGCGATAACAAATAGTATTCGAGCTCAAAATAGGTGCGGAGCAAACATGGACCTCCGATACATCAGAGGTCGGATCAGGTGCCATTGAGGTAATATTCCGCCATTTAGGAATTAAATTCTATTCCGCTTCGTTCTGCGGCGTCACATATTTTTAAAACACTTTTCAATGAGGACTACCTATCTTTTTAATTGATTTCTTCATCAAAGATTGTTAACATATGAGAGTTGAATAAGATAAAACGGAAATTGTGTTGGAGAAAGCAAAACTTTATTCAAAACTTTTTATTTTCAGATATTGAATCTCCTCAAAACTGTCTGAACAAAGATAAAAAAAAAAGACATAAAAAACAATTCTAAATATGCCTAATTCCATTCATCCAGAACCAGGTCCGAAATCGGCAATGGAAAGTAGAACAACTCTCAGATTTTCTTCAGATTCGTCGGAAAGCTTTCAGCGGTTAATGCAGAAGAACATAAGTGAATCCTCATTTAGCAGAATAATAAAACATTGGAAAATGATTATGGTTATATTGATACCAGTTTTATCTCTTATTACTCTCACCACGGCCAATCTTTTGAAAGCCAGTGAAGTTAAAAGAGCGACAATAATCGCCATTGAGAATGTAGACGAAGCTTATCTGTACGCCCAGTTGGTGAAAATGTTACAAAGAGAAAGGGGTATCTCCTCAACATATTTGAGCTCTAGTGGTAATAACAGTGCAGCTTTCAATAAGATGATGACTGACAGATATAACACGGATTTAGCTTTTGTAGATATTCCTGTAAATCAGCGCATGGTTTTGGTTAATGAAAGACCGTATACAATTTTAGAACTTCATCAAAATGTAAAACTCTCACGAAAGAGAATTGATAATGGGTCGGTTTCTGTCGAAGATCATCTTGACTTCTACACTAATTTGAATGAGGGATTGATGAATGTCATGTTTAAGGGTGTTGATATCCCAGGTGAACAAAACTACTATGGAGAAATTGTAGCGTTTTCCTCACTTGTGAGATGGACAGATATCATAGGGCTTTTGCGTGCTCGAATAGCTTTTCAATATGTGACTTGCGCTTTCACTTCAAAGACAATGCAGAATTATATGCTTCTGACTGGTGAAGCTTTGGCATATAAGAAAATATTTACTCTTTACACGGCGTCTTTGAAAGAGGCTTTTTCTGAACAAAACCGGAACAGTACGGAGGCTTACCTTGATGAGGTTAGAACCACTACCTGGTCAGAGACCTTTCTCAACTCCTGTGTCTCTCTCTCGAAAGAAGATCGTTTATCCTTAGGATTGGATTGGTTTAAGAACATAACAAAATACATCGACTTTGCTTTTGAGATTCAGAAACGCCATTCCCAAATAATAACAAACAAAATGTCACAAATTCGAAAAGAAGCGGAATTTCAATTCAATATATATATTTCCGTGCAAATTATCATAACTATTGTGAGTTTTGTTTTATCAACATGGCACATAATTTGCATAGAAAAATTGACATTCAAAATTGCTAAACATGCTTCAACAATCAAAGGAAAATCAAAGGAACTGGCGGCCGAAAAGAAATTAACTGAGAGGCTTCTCTATCAAATGTTACCAAAAAACATAGCAAAAACATTGAAGGAATGCCAAGAAGTCAACGCAGAATATTTTGAAGAGGTCACCATTTTCTTCAGTGACATTGTTGATTTTACTGAATTGGGCTCACGAAGTTCCCCGATGCAGATAATTGATTTGCTTAATGATTTATATGGGTAAGTCTGACACAAATTAAACAGGAACTGCAAATTGAACAGTACTAGTATTATCCGCATTAAGGTGATCGCATCTCAATGTATTTTTTCTTCATTATCAAAAGAAGAAGCTAAATTGATAATCTAATTAACAAAAATATTAAAATGCACATCCACTGGGCATTAAAAGACTAATTTTAAAAGATGATTGGGTTTTTGGGAAGAGCAGCACGGAACCAAGTTTTTGTAAAAAAAAAAATCATTGGCCCCCATTTCACCCCCACCACCATTACTGTGAAACAGAAAATACAAATTACCGTATTATGCAATTATATGACACCATCGATAACCATCCAAATGATGAGCAATCTACTGCAAAAATGTAAGAGAAGTTAGGACCTGAAGGAAACCAGTTATTTGTAAGAAATAAAATGTTCTCCTTATTGCATCTCTAAAGGACATGTTTAATATTGTTCCTAGATAAAAATAGGACATTGCAAAAAGGGGAGTCCAGAAAAACAGATATTGGTTGAGAAAAACGACGCCTTTTTACCCCATTGTCAAATGTCGTAATTTCACGCCAAATCTAGTGAAAAATCGAATAATTTTAAAGTTGGGATATATAATACCCAAATTTTTAGGATCAATTCTCGAGCAAACATACATGTACTTTACTTACAAGTATGTTATATGATAATTTTGATTTTCAACAAAACAAATATAATTTAAACCAGAAAGTATATAAAATTTTTGATTTGTGTATGAATAATAAAACAAAAATTACCTATTTTATGCCCTGTTCACACGACGAGTTTAATTCGCAGTAAATTAATGCCTCTCTCTCTCTTCACACGACAGCTAATGCGAAGTAAACTAAACGAATTAAACATAGTCATGTAGTTTACTGTACAAGTATGCCATCCTTTGATACATCATGTAGTGGCTAGGTATTCATTGATTTTTTTAACAACTTGTATTTTTTAGCCAAATATAGCACAAAATATATATAACCAGGAACATGCCCTGTGACTCATTAAAGACAAAATTTTTTTCTTCGCTTAGCGTTTACACGAATAATAGTAATTTAATCAGTAAATTAATTCGAATTAAACTAATTGATAAAGTTGTGTATGAATAATAAAACAAAAATTACCTATTTTAGTCAGTACCGAAAGTTACATATAATTTTAATGTATACTAGGATATAGCATGACATTCTTTCATTTTAGTTTATTTGACGACCATATTGAAAAGTACGATGTGTATAAAGTAGAAACTATCGGAGATGCTTACATGGTAGCTAGTGGTGTACCCACTCCAAACGGCAACGCGCATGCAGTTCATATTTGCAAACTCGCCCTTGACCTTCATGACGTCATGAGGCAATACCATGTACCAACCTCATTTGAAAGAGAGGAAAGTGTTAAAATTCGAATCGGAATTCATTCAGGTAAGATTAAAAAATGGATATCTATCACAGAAGAATTTCATCTTAGTTGAATAAAAACGGTGGAATGTTGCTGAATAGAACGCATTCACACTTCTTTTTCTTTTCTTTCAAATCGACCGCCAAACATAGCTGACAAATTGTCGATTGGACGTGAAACAATATACAGTCAATCAATCAATCAAACTTTCAAATCGAAACACTCGTGATGGAAATCTAGCCATATTGATATATTTGCATAAAAAAAAAACATAAAAAGTATATATTGACAAGGCATTCTCACATTTTAAGATGACGGCAAAATGAAACAGTAGTGGATTACAAACTTTTAAATCTATATTTTTTAGATTGTAGATAAAAATGTTTGATTACAGGTGTTTTTTAATTATAACATTTCAACAGTAAAATTCTCGTTTTGTTATTTCCTCAGTGAATAAAAGTGTGAAAGTTTACTAAAGTGATATTCGTTTACAATGTTAAAAGATATGTGATTCGCTCTTATGAAAATATTGTGAAAACATGTCCAGCTGTTGAAAAGGATGTCATATCTTACTACAAAGCATTGAATATCCTCTTTTTATTAATCTAATTGTGTATAAAAAGACAAAATGGTTTCAAAAGAAAAGAGCAATAGCCATCTTATGCATAAAATGGCCCTGTACTTATATCAATAAATTAACTATCACCCTTTTTCTCATTTCATATATCAAAATAAAGTAGACACTTGGTCCTTTCATTTTCTATGATAAAATTTCGTTTTGAGAATCCAGATATTGGAAAACATGTTTGAGAAATTGCAATGTTCTTGAAATTTGCAAAAAACATGCGTATTTGACTACCTCCAGCAAAGAATTAAAATATGAGCACAGTCCAAGATCCAAAAAATAAAACAATTTTTTTTTGATCTTCAGACACAGAGCTTTCATTATGTATTTGCATATTTTGGATCAGAGGTTGTGCTTTATATGAAATATTGAAAAAATGCTTCGACTTTAGGTCATTTTAAACGGAATTTACAGGATATGAGGAAAATGACACATTTTATGACGTCATAATACATTGACTAGATGGGAAATTTCGTCACGATTAATAGATACGTGGTCACTAACAATCCAAGTGATAAATAGCGCACTTGCAACATAAACTGATCGGTTGTTGATTTTTCAGAAATTCTCAGAGCCAAATAAGGCCCAAAGTGGCTCTTGCTCTTTAAAATACTTATGCATGACTGGTTTGATTTAATTTATTTTTGTATGAATTTAAAAGGACCTTGTGTGGCAGGGGTGGTAGGTAGAAAAATGCCAAGATATTGCTTATTTGGAGACACAGTAAACACAGCATCAAGAATGGAGTCTTCTGGAATAGGTTTGTCAACCATTTTGTCATGTTTACTGTTTTTTATGTATATTTTGACTTCAGCCTGTGTAAAGACCAAAAAGTATGTAAAATTATGACTTATGATAAATAAGTTATGTTTTAAGGTACCACCTTTCAAGCGAGCACACTTGTACGCCACCAGCAATCTTTATATAGCTTCCAATTGAAATTCCTTTTTTAAATTAACTAAGTATATTTGCACACTCATTTGTCGACGGATTTTCCGTTGTTATCCGATCATGATAAGGACAGGGCGGGTGTTGCCGATGAAAAGGGGATGCTCACTCCATTGTGGCCCTGATCCCACCTCTGATGTTTTTGAAGTCCCTGTTTGTTCTGCGTCTATTTTGTATTGTTTAATTGATTTTGAGCTTGAATATGGTTCGTTATCTCCATATATTCATAAAAAAATCTTATAGTGCTCCTTTTTTGGCATAATTTCTATAAATATCTCAACTTGGAATGATTAGGCGTTAAACATACATATGGGTATTCTAAAGGATTATTTACCATAAAAGACTTGAAAATATGAGACCCTTTGTATTATTTAAGAGAATCACTTTTTCATTATGTGCTCTGCAGCTATTTATCTGTCGGTTCGTCTGTCTACCAACAGTTTCCGTTCATTTCATTCGAAGAGGCTGCACATTTAGTACACAGATTTTTTTTAATAAGAATATCTAGGCAAAATTCTGTCTTGGGCCGATCAATTTTCGTTAGAGTAATGCCTCTTCGACAGAAAAATTCCAATTCTTTGCAGTTCTCGTTTATTTCTTTCCAGAGGTTGAATATACTAAAATGAAATTTGATATTACAGATGTATCATACAAATACCTAGGCAAGATTTAATTCCAGGTTCGATCGAGGAATTTTCGACAGATATGGCTGTTGGACTTCAAAATAAATCCAATGACTTGCAGTCTCTGTTTATTTTCTTTGCAGATGTTGCACATACTGGAATAAAATATAATTCACAGAAATGACATGAAAATATACTTTGGATAAGATCGAGCAATTTTATAATGTAGACAATATTTTGCTGTTTCCGTTCATTGTTGATCAGATAAATAACTTATATGTCATGAGAAACATGTTTTTGCCAAAAATGTCATGTAGAAGACTATTTCTGTTTGATGTATCTGAGATAGAAGTGGTAGATGACCCTTTTTGATTTTAAGTTCCAAGGGTCAATTTCATTTGATATACACCGCCCATAATGCATGCTGCCCGTACTAAAGACTTGACAAGTGCAAATTATAATGTACTAGTAAGTCCAAAGGGGCATAAGTGTTTCACATTTGTGTATGGCATAAGAAAGACTAAAGAAAAAGTCTTATATAAAACATTTTTTGCGAATTTGTGTGTTTTTGAATACATGTAATCAAGATCTTACATATTTATGAAAGGTAACTTTTCTCTCTTATTACAGGTGGCAAAATCCATCTCAGTCCATACACTTACAGCATAATAAAGCATTTAGGATGTTTTGAAGTTTCGTTGCGAGGAAGGATTATTTTAAAGGTATCGGTGTTTAATGTTTGTTTGTTTGTTTGCTGTTTAACGTCCCTCTCGAGAATTGTTTACTGATATGAAAACGCCACCATTTGCTGGTAGAGAGCTGCACATTTTGTCGAATACTCGGCACTAAGAGCCATTGAGGAGTGAGGGATCTTTCGTGCCAACAGGTACTGCGACATGGGACCTCGGTTTATACGGTCTCATCCAAAGGACCGGTCTCCACGTCACACAGTGGGATTTGATCCCGTGACGTAAGGATCGACTTCTTCCTCTGCGACTCTACAGCAGACGCTCTTACCACTGCGTGCACCACGCGGGCGACTGGTGTCAAATGAGACGTTTAATGAGTTCCCCACTTAACATTGATTTATAATTCACAAGAAAAGTATAGACAAAATGACAACCAGTTTATTCATATTAGAAAACCGTGTGTTAATTTAATGCTGAATCATTTATCATTATTAAGAATGTGTTGGAATCTAATGCTGAATCAGTTTATTCATATCATAATCTGACAAAATTGATGAAATACCAAATCCTTTAGGATTATCGATAATTAGAATTCTCTTTAGGTTTGTATTTTATTTTATTTTAAATTTAAAGGTGCATAAACACAGATTTGAAGTTAATATTTTTCTGTATAATATCACGACTTATATATTGTAATAGCAAATAGCAAAAATATATTAAAAATCTTATTTTATCTTAAAATTATTAAAACTTCAAATTTTTGGATTGGTTTGATTGACACATACATGTACTTGGTCTTTCACAAATATTAATTTTATTCTTATTTCTTAGAAAAAGTGGCATTCTTGTTTTGCATTAATGAAAAGTATTAAAACTTAAATCAAGAAATATATAATATTCAGAGTAGAAAGCAAAACCTCTTCACAAGTATCGCCATTTCTTGCTTAGTGCTGTGTATAGAGCTAAGCAAACTGAACACACCCGCGAAAAGTATACAGTTTTTTAGCAGGGCACGAGCTCTGTAATCGTTAAGGTTTACGATTCACCGGGTGTGTTCAATTGTTAAAGTTTGCTCACCACAACTGCACGGACTGACAATAAACTGTTTGTATGTTTTAATTCTAATTTTTCTATTCTGAATTTTCCAGATTATGTTTTTTAAAAATATTTTTCATTAAAACACAACAAGATCACCACTTTTCCTAAGTATTAAGAATAAAATTAAATTTTTTGAAAGTTAATGCGCGTGTCAATCAAACCCCACCAGAAATTTGAAGTTTCAATAATTTTTTAGATGAAATAAGATTTCTTAATATATTTTGATGTGAAATCCTATTGCAATATTATACAGAAATTTTTAGAAAATTTTAACTTCAAATCTGTGTCTATGCACTTTTAAGGAATATCAAAGATAGTGATTTTTGTGTCTATTGACAGGGAAAAGGAGTGATGAAGACCTATTGGCTAGAATCATTTATACCAACACCGCAGCTGACTATATTAGAGCCGTCCTGCATATGACAAGGGAGTGAAATACATTCAAAATAAATGTTTATACGGTATAATTTACAAGTAAATACATATATGTGATACCAATGACAGCTCATGAAAGATCTAATCCTTTTTTTCCAATAAGGTTCTATTTATGGATGCAGGTGCTACGGGGAGCATTTCATTGCAAAGAAACAGGAGTGCACAGTGAAAAATAACAACTTGTCCGAGTGGGCGACTACGTATACGTACCCTCACTGCCATTACTACGATCAAACTCGGATCATAGTGTCCTGAAGAGTGCTCTCCAACTGTCCTACCCACACACCCAACACTGAAAAAATACCTTCTTAAGGTTCAATGATACTCTGATAAGAGAAATAACTCTTAATGACATAAATGTCTATTATTCCTTTATAGATTTGTCTTTTTTGTCCAGTTTTGTCCTGCAAGCTACATGTATATATGCTATAATTGTTTGTATTTTACTTAAAAAATACATTTCTTTTGGAAAATCATTAAATTTCAAAAAATATTTTATATGAGTAATCAGAGAATTTATGAACCTTAATTCAACTAGTGTGCCTTGTAAAACGATAGTCAGGATTAGGAATTGTTCTGTTTACTAGCAAGGATAGTAGTTAGTTGGTGTCTGCGTAGCAGGGGTTGTATAGATACTGGATAACCTGTAGTGAAAACTACTCATAAAATCTAGATTTACCAATGTTGTCTTGTAAATCTGCCCAATACTTGTAAAAACTACTTTTAAGGTAGTTATTGTATGGACAGTAAATTTATGATTTTTCTCAATGACTTTAACTAGTTATTTTTTTCAATGAAGGAAAAGGGAAACTGTGTGAAAGTTTGTCTTTAAATGTTTTTATAAAGATATTTCATGTTGTATGTTCGTTTTAAGTAAGTTGGTATCAATTTAAAAAAGTTACTACATCTAAGTGTTTATTTAATCTTTTGTTTTATTTAAACAATGTTGTTATTATGCAGAAAAAATACATAACCCGCGTAAGCGGGTTATGTAATTTTTTTTAAGACCGTTAATTACAGTAATAATCAATTAAAGAAATTTGCTACATCTAAGTGTTTATTTAATCTTTTGTTTTATCTTCTTCATTGTACTGTTCCTGTATACATTATGTACACTTTTTTACCAAGAGGTTTTCTTTCATGGTCACAGGAACCGGTTAGGGGGCACGGGTACCATATGCTTGTGTCCCCTCAATAAAAACTTTCGATGAATTTTTTAAAAATTTTGTTTGTCAAGGAAAATTGAACTTTGAACATCCCCCTGAAAAATGTTTGGTTGTGCCCTAAACTAAAATTGCTATAGGGTAGGTTTTCCAAGTTTTTTTTAAACTGATTAATCTGTATTGTGAATATCTGACATTTATTTTAGGAGTTTTTACATTACAAAAATATTTCTTTTTAAAAAATCTCAATTGCAATCTAAAAACAAAATCTTATGATTTTTAAAGGATAAAAATCATAAGAAAAATATATCTGACAATCTAATCATAAATACACTAATAAACTGATGCTTCTTTATTTTGTTATAATGGTTACATTTTGCATAAAATGTAAAATTGGGTTCTTTTAGAAAATTCAACTATACTTACTAGATTCTTTTTAAATTTTAAAATGCATATATTAATTGCGGCGTTACATGAAACTTCTCAGTACATGTACCTCCGACGAACATTGTAAATGTAAAGAAACTATAAAACAATATATAATGTATATTTCGTACTATATTTTATTTTTCAATCATATTAATGGATTAAAGAATATGATTTACTATTTTGTATGAAATAACTGTGTTACACTGTAAACCTAAACATTTTGTTAGCAAATATAACAATAAAATACAGTGTAACAACTTTCTCTCAGGTGATTTTTTTTCAAAACTGAGGCTAAAATCTAAATAAGTTTAATCTTGATCTCATAGTTCGATAAGGGTTGTACGAGACAACACCAGAGGTTATACAATCCACAAGCCTTTTGTAGTAGTATCTACCAACAAACGTTGTTCTGATGCAAGAAAGAAGGTTGCCACTCATTCGTGGTCGAGCTGAAATATACCAAAATCGTGCCTGTATATTATTTTATCCCTTAACAATGGAAGAAAACTGCATAATTGTAAAGTTATTAATTTTCCTATTATTATTATTATTATTTTTTTTTTTGGTAAGCAAGAAACCCAAAAATATTTATATTCGACAGATATGATTTTACAGCCTTCGTGGTTGATAAATTACTTTGTTTTGATTGTATGCTGAAAAGCTTACAAATATTAGATATGATATGGCTTCAATCTTCATTTTTACCTCAAGCTAATTTTTCTAAAATTATGGCTTACAAAGACTTTGATAATTTAAACAAACTTTAGAAAAAAACGAATAAAGATAAAAGTATTTTTATCTGTAGTACTAAATCAAAATTAAACGGTCGTTCAAATTTATTTTCTTCAAATTATACTCAATATATAATAGTTTTACCTTCAGGATAGGGTACGGAATAATATGCTTCAACATCCCCACAGTAAGTAAGCAAAACAAGAAATATACACATAACAAACATCATGCCTGGAGAAAAAACAGTTGATTCCAATAGATTGTACTTATTGAATGAAGTGAGCATAAGCAAATGCAGAAAATAATATTAATGCCTTTGGCAGCCTGCTAATTGTGAGCGTTATGGTTGGTTATGTCGCTAGTGAAATGTATGGGAAGTGAGAAAGAATTTTCTTTGTAATCAGATAGTGCATTATGATAGACAAATTATTTGCTTGTTGAAATGTACGGGAAGTGAGAAAGAATTCTCTTTGTAATCAGATAGTGCATTATAATAGACAATCAAATTATTTGCTTCAAAATGATCGTTAACGTTATAATATGATATAAAGACACAATACTAACATGACTAAGTGGTGACAATATTGTGTTTATCGTTATTTGCTATGCCACCATGTGTGTATACGATTACAAAAAAACCTGTTTGTTTCTTAAACATCAATTTTCCAGAAAATATATTGACGCAGTCAACTAAGTAAGTATTTTTAATCTCGAAACAGGTTCCGTTTTGTATACAGGTATATTTCAAGTTGAAGTCAAGACCTTGCATTTAAAAAATGCATCGGTTATTACTTCCAACCTTTGCCATTTTCAAAATACTACATAGATATCGAGTATCTGAAATATAATCCTCCAACGTGTCCGTGATCTTGTTTACTCTACAACTCCAATCGTACCAGACACGTCGTTACTGTTGACGTAAATATGGTAAATAATAAGGGTACCGCAAAGCAGAGAATCTCCTCACGAATACAATGTCGATAAATCCCCATGTTTATTACCAAACTAACTAACACAAAAAGAAACTAACGCACCTACACACACGATCCGTTATGTTTATGACCATATCCTGTTTAGTAAACCTATATCTTTCAACTGCGACATGATTTCTTTAACATCATTATTTCAGTAGACATACAGACGATATGCCAAATGATGTGCCAAATATGAAAAAGA